TCAAAACGATAGAAATTTTATATCAAAAAACACATAAATACATCTAGAACAGCTCAAAAGCCGAAAAGACAGCTCAAAAGCTGAATCTAGTGGGAGGACAGATCCAAAGGATCGCCTAGAACGCACCCACTAACAAAATAACACAATGAAACTCCACAACTGGAGAAAGAGCTCCCCTACGGGAGAAAGAACTCCCCAACGGGAGAAAAAGCTCCCCTACGGGAGAAACACACTCCCCTACGGGAGAAACTACCACAAGCTAAACAACAAAACAACACAACACGACAATCCCATTCCTGCAACACTAATGAAATTATTTGACCGCCACCCCGAATGGCAATCAATAAGCGATCGAGCCCACCCAGGTTAATCATTCAATTCCATCAGTGCCAAAAGACGGGCCTAGGTAAATACAACACAATAACAAAGACACAGACCAACAAACTACAACAAAAAATAAATAAAATGAGAGCCCTTCCCAAGCAGAAAACCACATCGAGGCCAACAATGGCAAAGTCTCGGTCCAGGATCCCAACCCAGAAACTGCAAGAAAACGCCTAACGGAGTCGAAAACCAACGGACCTAACCCTTGTCCAGACGAACAACTCCACTGTCACCCAGAGACGAAGACACCTGGCCAACCAACCCAACCCTGTCCAGCCCTTCCCAGCCCAGCCCAACCTTGCCCAGCACAGCCCAGCCCTGCCCGAACCGGCCCATCCCAGCCCGGCCAAGCCCAACCCTTCCAACGAGCACAGAAGCCCAGTCAATCGATCTCCGGCGAACACGATTCCAAAACTCCACACCCACCCTTCCGACGACTGCGAGGCCAAGGTTCAGCACCCACCGTTAATTGCTGACTACTATGGCTCTAATACTCTGTACCAGGGCCAGGAGAATCCAATTTGGCCAGAATCCAATCTCCACCCCAAACCCTAAATTGGGAAATTGGGGTCGCACCTCGCTCCAAGAGAGCGCCGAAGGCCGCCGCAACGGAGATACCGGAGGAGAACGAAAACCCGCCACACGCTTCCGGCTCCAGAGGCTGAACACCGGAAAACGTCGCGAGCTTCTCCCCGGCGAAAAAGCCCCTTCTAGCGGCGCAACTCTGGGTGGCGAGCCGCGGGGCCCAGAAGAGCCACCGCCGAGCACTCGACGTGTCCTGTCGGGAAGGCAACGAAGGATTTACAGATGAGGGATGCGGGGAAGAAGACGACGGGAAAGATGGATAGGAGCAGAGTAGGTGGAGAGTTGCTTTCACAATAAAATGATGTATCTGATTTATGACTCACTTTCCTTTCTTTCATTTCTTCTCCCTCCCTTCTCCCCTCTTTCTTTCTAAATATGTTTTAATATATCATTTTATTTGTTATCTCACTGCAATTTTCCCTGCGTACAGTGAATTTCGCCATCTCTGCATATCTTTTCTTTTGCCGTAGTGTTCAGCTAGGCAATTTGTCAAAATTTTCTGCTTCATTAATTTTAACCCAAAATATTTAAATTACCCGGCAGAGATGCCGGCCGCCGGCGATGAGTGTGGCTGTGCAGAGATAGCCAATCACTTTTCCGACGGTATTTCCTAGACCAAAACTTAATTTTCCCACATCACCAAAACACTTGTCACCTCGAAAACTGCGAACCAAACCCTCACGCAGCTCACACTCGCCACCTCGAAAAAAGCGTCTTCTTCTTCTTCTTCTCATCAATGTCTAACGCAAACTCACCTCCGACCAACGCTTCCCCGGAATCGGCGGCGGCCGGCGCCCTGAGCAAGCGGTACGAAGGCCTGGTGGCCCTCCGCACCAAGGCGGTGAAGGGGAAAGGTGCCTGGTACTGGGCACACTTTGAGCCCATTCTTATCAGGAACCCGGAGACCGATTTTCCGACGGCCGTGAAGCTCAGGTGCACCCTGTGTGATGCGACATTCTCCGCGTCAAACCCCTCGAGGACCGCCTCAGAGCATCTCAAGAGAGGGACCTGCCCCAATTTCAGCTTCACGATGAAGCCAATTTCTCATCTGCCGCCTTTGGCCTCGCCGTCTTCACACCGCAAACGGAGCTTGGAATCCCAACAAGCTGCAGGTATACCAAAAGAGTTTATTTCTCCTATGGAAATTTTTATTTTAGTGTGGAGATTCTCCATAAATTATTCTCAGATAATTACTCGAACGGAAGAAAAATCACATAGTGTAATTTACTCGAACGGAAAAAAAAAAAAAATCGCATCAATTGCTTTGTTGGTGAAGAAGTTCCAAAGAATTTTTCACAAATATTGTCTATAGAACCTACCAGTGGATTATTCAGGACTTTTTTTTTTTCTTGGGTTACTATGATAGGTACTTCTTTAGATGTAAATCCTATCAACGTTATTTATTCATCAAGAACCAGCCATGAAATGGCCTTTTGGCCGGCCCAAAGTGCACAGACCCAAAAATCGAACCCGAAGCCGCCGATTCTGTCCGGCGGCCAAGAAGATTTAAGGCCTCTGGCCCAATTGGAAGACAGTGTCAAGAAGCTCAAGATCCCAAAATCTCTATCTATTCCCACTCTAAGCAAAGTCCAAATCGATACAGCTTTCGAACTTTTGGCCGATTGGTTTTACGAGTCGTGCGGCTCTGTCACATTCTCGAGTGTTGAGCACCCAAAATTCAATGCTTTTCTTAACCAAGTGGGCTTGCCCGAGTTCTCGAAAAGAGAATTCTTGTGCACAAGGCTCGACTCCAAGTATGCTGAAGTGAGAAGTGAGTCAGAAGCCAGAATTAGTGATGCAGCCTTTTTCCAAATCGCCTCTGATGGGTGGAAAAGTAATAGTTCAAAAAATGGAGATAAATTTCTGGTTAATTTTAGTGTAAACCTTCCAAATGGGACACGTGTGTTCCAGAAGGCGGTGTATTTGAATAAGGGCACTTTACCATCACAGTATGCGAAGGAAGTTATGTGGGATGCTGTTCAGAGTATATGCGGCAACAATGTACAGAGATGTGTAGGGATTGTTGCTGATAAGCATCGACAAACGGCTTTAAAAAATTTAGAGCTCGAGAATAACTGGATGGTCAATGTGTCTTGCCAGGTTCAGGGATTCCTTAGTTTGATCAACGACCTCATTACAGAACTCCCGCTTTTTAGTTCCGTAAAACAAAATTGCCTGAAAATCGCAAACCTGATTAACCACCACCCGCACGTCCGAAGATGCATCCGCAGCTTAGGATTCGAGTGCTACGCCAGTTTTATTCGAGTATTTTCCTCTAAATGCAACGCCTCGAAAAATTTCATCCCGTTTATGGCGATGCTGGAGGATTTACTCACTTGTTCCCAAATTCTGCATCTTCTCGTTTCTGATGAATCATATAAAGCCCTCTGTTTAGATCACATTGCCGCCAGGGAAGTTGCTGACATCATTCATGATGCGGGATTCTGGAAAAACGCAGAGGCCGCTCGTTTTCTTGTGATGCAAGTAATGTCGATGGTTAAAGAGATGGAGACAGAAAGGCCGTTAATCAGCCAATGCCTTCCCCTTTGGAACGAGCTTAGGGCGAAAATTAAAGAATGTTGCGCCAAACACGGTCTTATCGAGGGGCCCGTCGAGCGTATAATCGAGGCCCGTTTTGCGAAAAACTACCACCCGGCATGGCCAGCTTCGTTCATTCTCGTCCCGCTAAATTTAGTGAAGGACGAAAACGGAAAATATTTGCCGCCGTTTAATTTGCTGACGAGTGTGCAGGAAGAGGATGTCGAGAGGCTTGTAATTCGGTTGGTACCCAAAGAGGAAGCTGACGTGTCGTTAATGGAGCTCGTGAAGTGGAGGTCGGAAGGTCTCGACCCGTTGTATGCTCAGGCGGTTCAAGTCCGGCAAAGGGATAATTTGACGGGAAAACTGAAGATTGCTAATCCGCAGATTAGTCGGCTCGTGTGGGAGAGTTGCTGCTTGAAGGAGTTGAAGTCGCTTAGTAAAGTAGCTGTGAGGCTTCTTTTTTTACATGGGACTGCGTTTGGGTTCGAGTGGGACCGGGCCTCAATGGGGTGGTTTTGTGGGCTGGGGCCGGGGGTGGGCCTTGAGAGGGCCCAGAAGATGGCTTACGTGGCGGTCCAGGCAAGGCTGGGGAAGAGGGATGTTTTGGGTGGTGAGGAGATGGAGCTTTGTGAGGAGGAATGTGGTTTTTGTGCATAAGCCGTCATTCATTTTTTTTTTAAGTTTTGTTTTTTAATTTCATTTTGTTTTAAGTTTTGACTCTTGTACAATTTATGAGTGCGAGTATTTCCTAATAAATCCCTAATGCACATTTCAAATTCCTTGTCAGTCCCAAACACTTTAAAACTTCTTCTGCATTCCCTAATACATTTGTCTCTTTCCTTTCAACTCCCCATATAAATACTAATATTATTATTATTCATTAGTCTCTTTCTTCAATCTCTCTCTTCGCATCTCTCAGCCTCTTCGCCGAACACGGACCTTTTTGTCAAATACGACGGCAGCTTGCCGGATCTGTTTCGAGAGGGGCACTCGGCAGTGGTTGAGGGGTTTATCCGGCCCTTTGTAGTGGTATGGGAGGTGAAATCATCGATAATGGAGGCGATGCTCGCAGTTGCCCGGAACAATTTAGGTAAGTTGGAGTTCCCAAAGTTGTAAGAAATTAATGGGCCTGTTTGATTTTTAGTTTTAATTTGAAGAATTTTTAAGTTCTGACTGAAAAACTGTGTCTTGTGAAATTTGAAGATGCAACCCTCTTTTCCTTTATGAAGTTTGGAGTTATGCCTTTTATGAGTGTTAAAATTACTCCTCTCTAGTACTTCTCGGGCCACCTTCAAAATAACAAGAGAATGCAAATCACGTCTACATGCTGTTATTGTTACTTGTGATGGGATCTTGAACATGCTAGGATATTGGGTTTATATGTTTCTTTTTTTTGGAGAATGACATTAGAAGCATTTCCTATGTAGCAAGGGTAATGGAAAAGAAGCATCTTTATTGAAAAGTGAGACAAATTGGTCATCCTTCAATTTTTTGTTTGGTCGAGAACCTGATTTTGTTGGATTTGGCACTGTTCGTGCACTAACTTGTCATTTCAGCTCCCAGCATCAAGCAATAGATATTAAACACAAGGTAATTTCTTGGTTTATGGGAGTACTCAGTGCAATTTTCTGTAAGGAAAAGTTTATATGTATTAGCAGTGTACTAAAGAGCAAAAACTTTTTTGGCCTGAAAAATTTTGATACATCAACATTGAGTTTCACTGAAAATTTGCTCATTTCTAATTCTCATATGTTCTCCCAGAAAAAAAAAAGAAAGAAAAAAGAAAAAAGGATTCTTGGTGTTACTTTCGATTTAAGTGATAAGGCACTTGAGGATAACTGAAGAAGTCCTTCAGTTCAAGATTCATGCCAAGTGTATCAGCTTTAGGTGTTATGACTTATGATATTGATTTGCAGTTGATGAGTTCTATCCCTAAATTCGTAAAGATAGTCGAAGTTGGTCCACGAGATGTGCTGCAAAACGAGAAGGAAATTATGCCAACTAATGTGAAGGTGGACTTGATAAAAATGCTCGCATCTTCTAGTTTGTCTGTCGTTGAAGCTACTAGTTTTGTTTCACCAAAATGGGTATCTCATGTATTTGCTAAGGTGTTGTGGTTCTCTTATTTGCTAACAAACAGGTAAATTGGATGCTATATTTTGTTGTTTCAGTGTGAATTGGCCTTCAGCTTCTAGCCAGTATCTCTAAGGTTTTCAAGTGATGCTTCTATTCATGAACTTTTTCTCTACAGGATCTTCCTGGAGCACTTGCTGATGCTTCGATAAGTGAGGCCTTAGAGTTGCACAAGATTAAGAACTGTCAATGGTCTATTTTTGGTGGTTGTATATTTCTAGCTTTTCTTTTGGTTTGCCTTTTCCTTCTTTTTGGGTTTTTTTTTATCCCTTGGTCTTTGCTGTAATCCCAGGTGGATTCTCATTTGTAAATAATACCAATAATGTTTGTATTCAGTACATTTTTTTAATTAATTAATACCTACTTTGGTCTATGGAAATGGATTACTTTAATTTTGGTAAATGTTTGTTAAATTAGTACCCGTTCTAGAATTAGACAATACTCATTAAATGGTTGTTTGGTACCCAATATCGGGTCTTTAGTACCAACTCCAACGAACATAAAAAATTACCAAATTTCGATCTTAAATTATGTTTATATTACTCAAAACCATTCAAACATTAGTTTCTATGAGTTTTAGAATGTGTTTAATTAAGTTTCATCGCAAATTGGTCATGAACTCAATACATCAATGAACAAACATTACTAAAACACTTCATCTCATTAAACGATATAACATGACTAGTCTAATTTTTACCTATATATTTTAGATTCGTCTATCATTCAAACACTCCATGCGTGAACGATTCATGTGACATGGTAGACATGACAGATTAAAGAAATCATGATTCGTAATCTGGTACCTGTTTGTCTTAAATATGATACGATGTACATTTTACTATAATTTTTAACTGTTTGTTTTTGTACCAGATATCGGTCTTCAGTACCAACTCATCTTAACTAAAAATTTGAAAAAAAAAAAAACAAATTTCGTAAAATGGTACCAATTTTTCCACAAATAGTACCACTTTTTCTTCTATGTAGTACCAGTTATTGATGAATTAATACCTACTTTGTAGAAAGCACAAAAAAATAATTACTTCAAATTTGGTTAATATTGCAAAATTGGTGCCAGACCTAGAGTAAGAGTACTACAATATGGTGTTCTAGTACCGGATATCGGGTCTTCAGTACCAACTCCATCGAACATAAAAAAACACCGAATTTCGGTCTGAAATGATGTTTATATGACCTATTATCACTCTCACATTAGTTTTTATGAAATTTAAAATGAGTTTAATTAAGTTTAATCGTAAATTGGTCACGAACTCAGCACATACATGAAAAACCACTACTAATACACTTCATCTCATTAAAAGACACCTCATCCCATTGAATGATCATACATGACTACTCCAAATTCTACCTATATGTTTTAACTTTCACTATTTCTCAACCAAATCACACGTGAACGATCCACGTGGCATGGTGGACATGAAGGATTAAAGAAATCACGATTACTAAAACGGTACCAGTTTTGACAAAAATAGTACCGCTTTTTCTTTTGCGTAGTACCTTTTTTGAATCAATTAGTACCTGCTTTTGGTCAACAAAAATGGATTACTTCAATTTTGGTCAACATTTGCAAAAAATTGTACCAGACCTAGAGTAAGATAGTACCAACTTTTGGTGTTTTAGTACCAGATATCGGGTTTTTAGTACCAACAGCAACGAACATAAAAGAAACACCAAATCTCAGTCTTAAATGATATTTATATGACTCAAAATGACTCACACATTAGTTGCTATGAAATTTAGAATGTGTTTATTAAGTTTCACCGCAAATTGGTCATGAACTCAACACACTGATGAACAAACACTACTAATACACTTCATTTCATTGAATGACACACTTCATCTCATAGAATCATCATACATGACTACTCCAAATTCTACATATATGTGTTAACTTCCACTATTTTTCATCCGAATCACGCGTGAACAATCCACGTATCATAGTAGACATGAATGATTAGAGAAATCACGATTCTCAAAATAGTACTTGTATTAGCCAATATAGTACCGCATCTTCTTCTACGTGGTACCTGTTTTTGATCGATTAGTACCAACTTTTGGTCAATGAAAATAGATTATTCAATTGTGGTCAACATTTGCAATAATTGGTACCAGACCCAGAGTAAGGTAGTACCATCGTTCAGTGTTTTAGTACCAAATATTCAGTCTTTAGTACCACTTGTAATGAACACATAAAAACACCAAATTTCGGTCTCATATGATGTTCATATGACCAATAATCACTCTCACATTATTTTCTATGAGATTTAAAATGTTTTAAATTGAGTTTAATCGTAAAATGGTCATTAATTCGACACACTAATGAGAAATCACTACTAATATACTTCATTTCATTGAATGACACACTTCATCTCAAAGAATCATCATACATGACTACTACAAATTCTACCTATATGTTTTCACTTCCACTACTTTTCATTCAAATCACGCGTAAACGATCCAAGTGTCATAGTGACATGAAGGATTATAGAAATCACTATTTTTAAAATAGTACCTGTTTTAGCCAATATAGTACCGCTTCTTCTTGTATGTGGTACCTATTTTTGATCAATTAGTACCAACTTTTGGTCAGCGAAAATGGATTATTCAATTGTGGTCAGCATTTGCAATAATTGGTACCAAACCTAGAGTATGATAGTACCATCTTTCGATGTTTTAGTACCAGATATCGGGTCTTTAGTACCAATTGTAATGATCACATAAAAACACCGAATTTCAGTCTTAAATGATGTTTATATGACCAATGGGTAAAATATACAGTACCCCCTTGTATTATACGAAATCTGCGCGTTTCTCCCCTGTATTTTAAAAATTGCGTCAGACCCCCTTCTATTAAGGTTTTGCATGCGCGAAACACCCTAAACCGTCTAAGATGACGGAAGTGGGGTGCACGCGCGTGCTGTGCGACTTTTTCTTCATTTTTTCACCCCAAAATGGCAGAAATTACTGTTTTACCCTTGAATTATGTGCAAAACTCAAATGTTATAAAATGTGGGCAACAAGATTCGAACCTGGGTTGGAAAGGAAGAAAATGGCCACTCAACCACTAGGCCATATGGATGGTTGTGTAATCTATTGAACATAAATATATCTATACATCACACTGAAATAAATTAAATAGTTTAAAAATAAGTAAATAAATAAAATAAAAGGATAATATGTCAATTTACTATAAATATAATAATTAATAATAATAATACTAATAACTTCCAATAAATCAAATTAACTTAAAATAATGAAAAAAATTAAATTAAAATAAAGTAAGATAAATTTAATGTATCAGCGTGAACTAAAATTAAATAAAGTTATAATTAAGTAAATTTTAAATGAGAAAAATAAATACAAAAATGAAATAAATAAATAAATAAAATTAAAATAAACTAATTAAAGAAAAATAAAAATAATAATTATATAAGATAATAAAGTATAAAAATTATAAAGTAAAATAAATAATAAATCAAATATCTTATTATGAAATAATAAATTAAATAAATAAAGAACTGAAATTAATATAATATAATATAATAAAAAATATTATTTATCAAATAATTTTAATATTTTACTCTTAATAAATATATTACTATTTAATATAAAAACAAAATGATAATTTCGTTTTAATAAATTAATAATATAAATGTAAAATAAATTGTTGTATAAAATTTCAATATACGTTTTAATGAATTGACATAATATAATTTGTATAAATTATATTAAATATAATTTATAATAAAATTAAATGATTAATTTAAATAATTAAATTTATAATAAAATTAAATGATAAATTAAATTAAATTAAATTTGTAATAAAATTAAATGATACTTATATATATAATATATTATTAAAGTATAATTTCGAAAATAAAATATTTTTTATTAAATAGCTATATATGATTTGTATTTATTTATTTTAATTATTTTTATACTATTTAATATTTTTTAAAATCTTTTATAAATATATAGATTTACTTAATATAAATATTTATAAGTTTATTCAATTAATATACATAATTACTTAAATATAAATATTTATAAATATTTATAAGTTAGAATATAATTACTTAAATATACATAATTTAACGATATTATAAATTATAAGTAAAATAATAATTCAATATTTATATTTTATAATAATTGAGTAAATAGATTCTAATATATTATTTATAATTAAGAATCTATTTATTCAATTATTATAATATATATATATATATATATAATTATTATATTATTTATAATTTATATCTATCATTATATTATTTATTTTTTAGAATATTTTTTCTTAATTGTTATATTATTTATAATTTAGAATTTGTTTATTAAATTATTATATTATTTGAAAATTTATAATCTATTTTATTAATTATTATATCATTTATAATTTAGAATATTTATAATTTAAAAAAATATATTTAATTATTAAATATTAGTAATTTATAATCAAATTACATAATTATTATATTATTTATAAGTTAGAAAATATTTCTTAACTATTACATTATTTATAATTAATTGTTATTATATATATACTTAATCAATATATTATTAATAACTTAGATCTACATATTTAATTAATACATTATTTATAATTAATTGTTATTATATATATACTTAATCAATATATTATTAATAACTTAGATCTACATATTTAATTAATACATTATTTATAATTAATTGTTATTATATATATACTTAATCAATATATTATTAATAACTTAGATCTACATATTTAATTAATACATTATTTATAATTAATTGTTATTATATATATACTTAATCAATATATTATTAATAACTTAGATCTACATATTTAATTAATACATTATTTATAATTAATTGTTATTATATATATACTTAATCAATATATTATTAATAACTTAGATCTACATATTTAATTAATACATTATTTATAATTAATTGTTATTATATATATACTTAATCAATATATTATTAATAACTTAGATCTACATATTTAATTAATACATTATTTATAATTAATTTTTATTATATATATACTTAATCAATATATTATTAATAACTTAGATCTACATATTTAATTAATACATTATTTATAATTAATTGTTATTATATATTTTCTATACGTTAAGATATATATAAATAGAATTACATTTATAACTACATGTCAAGTATCTCAGTTGGTGGGAGATGCTTTTTACAACCCAAAGGTACAGGGTTCAATCCCCAACTTTGAGGTTTTAATTTTAAGTTTACATATAGCAGGGTATAATCGTAAATTCATTGATAAAGTAAGGGTATAATGGTAAATTAAACAAAAAAGTAACGCCGTTAGTATTAAAGTAACGGTGTTAACATAAAGGGGCGAGTCTG